GTTGTTGTGTTTTCTATTTTCTTTTAAGTCTTGATTCTAATCCGATTTGCTTTTGAGAAATAATCCTTCCTTGTATCCATTTTGTGATTTGGATTAAATTCTGGTATTGATGGGTTTAATGGCAAACACTAAACATGCAATTTAGAAGTGTAATGGTCTATCTAGTGTAAGCTTAATGCTCCCTACTATTTAGAGCATACTTAAAAGTAATAGGCATGCATTTCTTCAAAATTTTTATGTATTTCTAACCATTCTTTAAAAGTAACTGTGTTCTGACTTTAAAATTAATAAAATATTTAAAGTATCTTTAAATAATTAAATAAGGCAATAGTACCCTAGACCCATTATGCAAGATGCTCTTTGATAAAATTTCATTGGAAGCAATGTTGGTGAAGTGGTGAACACTTGATACTCATTTTAGAAGTATAATGGCCTATCTAGTGTGAACTTAGGCGCCGTTTGGGATTGGTTATATTTTCTATTTTGTTTTGTTTATATTTTGATTTGAGCTAAAACATGTTTGGTATATTTGATTAAGATATAGTTCTTTTTGAAAACACTCGAAACACATAATTTTTGTCTTGTGTGTTTTCTAAAATTTTGTTAAATTGTTTTTAGAAACACAAAATAAAAACAAGTGAAAAATACACCAAACAAACAGTTTTCAAAAACAAAATAAAAAATAAAAACAAAAAACAACTTTGATCTCAAACAAGCTTTTAATGTTTGTTGCTCTTTGGAAAATGCTTAAAAGTAGAAGGAACGCATTTTATTTAATCTATGTAATTCTAACCATTGATTACAGGTAACATTGTGCTCACTTTATCATTAATAAAATAATTAAGATATGTTTCAATAGGTAATAAAAGCAATAGCACCCTAGTCCTAGTATGCAGAATGCTCTCTGATAAAATGTCAGTGGAAGTAATGCGAGTGATGTGGTGAACACTTAATATTCAATTAATAAGCGTAATTGTCTATCCAGTATAAACTTAATGCTCCCTGCTATTTAGAACACACTTATAAGAAAAAGACATGCATTTCGTCGTACCTTTTATGTAATTCTAAACCAATAAGCGTAATTGTCTATCCAGTATAAACTTAATGTTCCCTGCTATTTAGAACACACTTATAAAAAAAAGGCATGCATTTCGTCGAACCTTGTATGTAATTCTAAACTTTCATTACAAGAGAAATTGCTTTTCATGGTCTTTCAGTTGATCTGGTATTTGGATCCTTTTTTTATTGAATTTTGAACGTAGTGTCATATTTAATAAAACTATCTTGTGTTGCACCGCTGGTCTTGATGATGATCAACTGCAAACAAGCAGTTTATGGTTCACATTTTGTTGTATACTGTTTGTTTAGGAATTCTGCATTAGCCTAACTTGTTTTTCTTCAAGAGTATACAATTATTTGTGATGAATGGTGATAATTTCTATTTTTTTCTTGTCTTTCAGTTTTGTTGCCCCTTTGAAACTTGCTAGCAATTAATTTGATGATGTTATTTTATGAACTTTTTTTTAATCACGACATGATTGTTCAGGTGAAAATAAAACATTCCCTTGCAGTTGATACTTTAGAGCAGCTAATTCAAAACGGTGAATGTTGTAGGTAAGCAACATCATCAAGCTAGTCTGAAGGTCCAAATCTCAGTTCTGCAATTGCTAGTTGTTTGCATTACACTTTACATTAATGCTGTCTATTTATGCTAGCAAACTAATTTTATTTTTTTCGCTTTGTTCACTATTGCTCTGGTACATGAAGTTCTCGCAACGCATTCTTCCCAAGATCACTAAAAATGTGTCAATGTTATTTCTTCGCTTTATATTCATTTTTATTAATTATCTTACATAATAATTACATTCAAAGTTGTTCTTTTTAATATGAAACCAAATTGATTCTCAAAAGTGACCTAATTTTTTAAGTTCATATTTAATTAATTTTTTCTGTAATTTTATTGTATGATTCAGAAGTTTTTTCCCCTCTATGCTTTTATCACAATATTCAATATCTCATTTCTTTCCTGAAATATTGATATCGAAGTGTTTCTTCTCTTATGATTTGATTTTCTCTTAATCTTTAAATTTTCATTAGAAAAAAATTAACCAAATTATTCCACTATCCTCCTGATTTCAAATCTCAATATATATTTTATCTAGATCTAAGATTCGCCTTTTCATATCTTCTTTACAGTTAATTTTACTTCGCTTTGTCTGAATCAACCTATAGTATTCATTATTATTTTGTTCATTATGCTTTTCTAAATAATTTGATTTTCTAGAACTCTGGCATTTCCATCAACCTTAATTTTTATTATCTTTAACTAGTTTCTTATTATTAATAGTATAGTTAAAACGCTTTGAATGAGATCCATGAAGTACATATAAATTTACATGCTATAGTGTAGATGTTTTTGTAAGTTTTTAATCAATGGACGGTATATATAGGGTCCCATAGAAATTTTTAGTTTCTTCTCTCTTTTTTTTTCATTTACCATAGAAATTTTTAGTTTCTTCTCTCTTTTTTTTTTCATTTAATTTTTTTTAAATTTTCACAGTTTTTTATTTTTTGAACAGTTGTACTGTTTAGTGTGACCACAGCGACATGTTGCATGTTGTGATGTTGCTCAACTTCAAACTATAAAGTATTTTTCTTTTAATGATTATTTGTACCTTATTCTCCATTAGCGTGTTGTTTAGGGACATTTTTTTTCAGGAATTCTTGTATCTTGATAAAAGAAATCATAACTAGCTATATCAAATATCTTGCTGCCTCTTCCTTCAAAGAAGAAACATAAAATAGCCTTAACCTGTTGGGAGCTATACAATAAAAAAAAAAAAAACAAACTATTGTAGCATTTTAATTAGCTTGTCTCTGCGTTGTCCTTTTATGCTAATTTGCTATGGCTGTTAAGCACCATGGATGATGGCACTTGAGGATGCTGCAAATTCATGTTTTTTTTGCTCTGTTACTTGAAAGTTTGTAATGCATTAATCTCAATTTCTTGTGTACATGGTGCGATATATACAAGGTGTACCATATGGAATCTGCTTGTGTTTAGTTTTGTAAATTTTAGTGTTTACAAGAAACTACATACATTCCATCACTTTCATGAGGAAGTTCTTGAATGCCCGACATGTATCAAGTTAGTATACGGGCTATTTTCTTATTAGTGCTCCGTCAATCTATTCTTTAAAATTCAGTCATTATGTCCATAATAATATGAGAACCAAACTTTGATTTCTCACAGTGAGTTGGAGATTTTTAAGCAATATGTATCCATCTGTCCTTGCACTCATTTTTTAGTTGAGACTAGGATGTCCATACGCAACAGTGGGTTGGAGATTTCTATGCTCCCAACTATTACGTGTGAACTATGATAAACCTTTTTTGGAAAATACTATTTCAGTTGTTTGTTTTTCTTAAATCATTGAATTCATTTTCTACTACTGGCTTATTTGGTTTCTTGAAAATGAGCTTTTTTAAGAATATGATGATCTTGAGGGAGTTTGAAGGTGTTTGTCGAATTGAGTTCTAACTGCATTCATCCTTTGGTTGACTCTATTTTGTCTTTTTATTGTCATCTTCTTTTTTTCGTTTGTTTTTTTTACGGCGTGTTTCCTGCTTGTAAGCGGCCAAATGAGTTTCCTTGAAGGCTGAATTCCTTTGGCCACCCCTGTTTATAACTACTTTTGTTGTTGAAGACAGAAAATAGGCCTTAAATCCTTGGTAACATTGATTTATGTTTTCATGTTATGATGGTGAACTAACTCTAAATATAATTTCTTGAAGTTGATGAATTTTCAAGTTGTGCAGTGGCCACTAAAGGTTAGGTGTACGCCATTAACAAGGAATAAGAAGGCTGGTGCTGGATCAGAAAGACTGACCTGTAGCCACCTGGTCCAACCATGAACCATTTATTTGCAGCAAACTGAAACCTTTTGTTGGATCTGGAAATGTAACGGTCGTTGGTAGTATTGGTAGCATGTACTCACAATGTGAACCTAAATTCTATGGCAGTTTAGATAGTCATAATATAACAAAATCGGGCAGTTTTAAAAATAGATGCCTGTTAACATCTGTTCGCGTCATATGGACCCATATTTTATGACTACTTACCATCCCCATCACCATCATGCTAACATGAAAAAAAAACCCAAGAGGCTAAGACTTTCTTATACAACCTGTAACAAGAAGCAAAAGATTATGTGTTTTTTTAATATTTATCATGAAGTTTGATGGTTATAATATGATTGGATCTTCATTAACGCAAGTCCGGTTGCCTTTATGTCATAGAATTGTTGTTTTTTTTTGGAAAGCTTTCATTTACATGCTTCCTATTTTTCTCTAAATAATATTTTCTTTGTAATGATAGCAAATTAAACTGAGAAATGCTAGGTCGCAAGCTATTTCTTTACCTTGGCAAAACCTTGCAACAACAGTTGTCATGATGTCTTTTTTCTTTTAGCAGATTTACGACTATTAATTTTCATGTTTGATTAGTTCTCCCACTTGATTTATTCATTAAAAGAAAAGACTATTTGCAAAGTTTTAGGAATTACATGATTGTCTATTTGAGTTTTCCCCGGCAATTTGCTACTGACAATATTTTGTTTTATGAAATCAGTAAAAATCATTGATTTTAATGTATTATACATAATCCTTATTTTTCTGGTGTCTTTCAGCTATGACTTTGCATTTGTTGATGCGGAGAAGCGTATGTATGATGAGTATTATGAATTACTGTTGCAACTGGTAAAGTTCTAGGCCAGCTACTTGCAAGGTGCTGTAGTAATCTAAATGTGAATAAATATGACTTAATATTTAATATTTGCACGTGAGTCATTCTAATGACTCCATGACTTATTGATTTAATTTCATTTTCTTTTTTTTTTCTTTCTGAAACATTTGTTCAATTTGCTTTGATCACAATTTTATTCATGGACTCCTTGAAGTTATTTTTTTTCTGTTCGTCCTTGTTGTGGCGACTTGATTTATTCCAGGTCATTTTTATTCCAGAACATGGTGCTATAGTGCATAGCCTTGTGTGGATTTTAAAAGCTACATTGAAGCTGCTAGCAGAGTTATTTAAATTCCTGGATTATATCATTTATTAATCCATAAGCTGTATTTTCGGTTATGTACAATATAGAAGTACAATAAACTTCTTGGGATGAACACAGGTAATTTTTATCTCAACTTTAAAAACTTACCATATATCAGGCTGTCGAGACAAGGATTTAATGCAGGAAATTTCCAGGAAAATTAAAGTATTCTACTTTGCAGGGTATGAAAATTGAACGCAACAGCATATGAACTAAGGCAGAATAAATTTTTGAAGGCATGATTTTTGTTATTTGATGGGGCCTAATTGTATTTTCTTGGAAGCTTATATGATAGATTTTTGACATTAATATAGGGGTTCGTTAGAATTGCTAAAATCATGTAAATTGATTTCTGTTACGGAGACAGTGCCATCTATCATACGACTATGTCTTTTTATACAAAGGATAGATTTCAACTTCGGCAGAGTAATCTTGTCATGATTATTTCTTGGTTCAAAATGCCCCTAGAAGTTTTTGAGCGTAAAGCTGTGTTGTGATATATAATACATCTCTACGTCGAGTGCTAGTTTCAAGGTTGGTATCTGCATTCCTTATTTTTTCCTCTCTTGTGTTGTCAACAATTGCTCTGTTTTGATTGCTATTCTAAGGCGTTCAGGTTATGTCGTTGACGTGGGAGCGTCGGTTCTGGTGCTGTTCACATTATGTTACAGTTCAACTTTTATGTTTTAGTTCTCTGCTTTTATGTATTTTTTTTTTTGGATGACAAACTTGTAATAAGGAAGGTTTTAGTGCTTGGTTTTAGAATTGTGAGTTTCTATTTTTTGTTTTTTCTTTGGAAAGGTCAGCTATCTGTTCATCTTCCTTGTAGCTATGTCCCAGAGTTGGCAACCTGAGTGATGTCTTTTTGTGTATCATTGTGCTTCATTTATATCAGTGATGTTCCTTTTACTGTTTTTTGCCTCCGGAATTCTTCACAGAAATTCTTGATTACTGTTTTGCTAAAATTCTATTTTCATATCTCTTGCTGGTATTATTTTGTTATTAGAATAGTCCTTTCTTGGGTAGTTCGACTGGCACCAAGAGCCGCTGTTGTCTAGCCATTGGGTCTCCTCGGGCCATCCATAGAAGATTGCTAATTGGCTTCATAATTCCTTTTCTTACCCAGAAATTGCGAACACATTTATGTTCGTTTGTGATTCTTTATGTTCTCAAACATGCTGCCACGGAGAAATATTGCAAGACCCAATCAAGAAGTCTTTATGGAAGGTTTGCAACGAGAGATCCGGTGTCTTTAATAAAGAATAGCTGGTCTTGAACAACGAAAATTGGAAGAACATGAGGTGGATCAAACAATAAAATTTTTAGAGGAAGAAGATGAAAACCCATTTCATCAGGATTCCTCAAGTTTCAATCGGTTTCAAGGCCTATTGTCAGAAACAACATGGATACCTGTATATTTTTAGCCAGTGTATGTTGAGGAGAAATGTGTTGGAGTTGCTAGAGTGAAAAGTTCATGCGATGACATTTGATAGCACAATCTAATGGTGTTCATTGAGAACAACATTCAAATTAGAAGGGTTCCTTTTGTGACTAATGAAGTATACTAATTCTTTAACCTCTAGGCAGTCCAAATTATCGTCGAATGATCGTTTTGATCGGTTTGATAATGTTGGCGAGAAGATGGTCTCTAAGCGTATTCGCTCAAGCGTGACTGATGTTTTTAATCAAACAACTATAGTTGCATGTGCAACTACATAAAATGCAGCCAAATCCGATTTTAGCTTTGTTGATGCAAATAATTCAACTCTTGATGGATATGCAAATGTTAAAGTCGGTTCTAGTTAGGATTAGAATGTTGATGATAGAGGACTTGGTATGGACATCCAATCACTCTCGCAGATTGTAGACTTTGGTGAATATTTTGAAAATAATGTATTGAATATTGGTGAGCCCTTTGGAACCACCGAGCCTCAAGTCATTGTATTCCCATTTGCTTATTGTGTTTATATTAGTCGTAGTCCTCTGTGCAGCTGGAATCAATATAGCCTTGATCAAAGAACATCGGTTGTGGGTCTTACATTTTCTGATAACTTTAACCGACCATTTTCATCATTTATCGAAATGCATGTAGAGCCATTGGTTTTTATTGTTGCTTGTCAAGGAGCTGAAGCCCAAGGGTTTGAGATTGCACCAAGATTAGATGGTAAGAAGGCGAAATTTAAATGCAATAGCGACGAACCTTAAATGGAGGAGAAAGTTGCACATTTCCATAATAGTGTTGATCCGGTGAATTTAGTAGCTAGGGCATATACTTGAATCATCCAACTTGACGTATATAGGGATTAGAACGACTCCATTTTCAATGTCTCCGTGTCGGAATTGGAGACCTAAATTGAATCTTCTCCAACTTCGGGAGAATGACACGGTAGCGTCAATATTAGTGTTTTTCACATTATGTTACGGTTCAGTTCTTATGTTTTAGTTCTCTATTTTTATGTTTATAGTGAATTTATAAGCTGTTCTTGATTTTTATGATTGAGGGTCTGTTTGGGTGGGGATTATTTGTGGATTGTGCGTTTTGAAAACGCATCCCATTAGTTTGGTTCGAGCATTTTGGTTGGCCCCCGTAAAACGCGTAATTTGATTTCTAAAGTACCGCGACCCACACCTAATGTATCGCGGTCGAGCGTTTCGAAGGGTTTTTACAGTACTTACCCCTCTGCCTCCTCCGCTTTCCCTAGTTCGTGCCCTAACCTTCCTCGATCGCTTTCTCCATTTCGTGCCCTAACGTTCTTCGCTCTGAGAAGAGACGTTCCTCGCTCTGAGAAGGGGAGATCTATATCTATCGCGCCCTACTGTCGCGCTCTGAGGAGATCTGACACTTTCTTCTCTCTTCTCCCATTCGATCCGATTGTTCTGTAAGTTGTTGTCTTTGGTTACCGTAAGAATCAAGAGTTTAGTTGATGCCTTACGTTGAAGTTTTCCGATTTTGTGATGCCTTTTTTTTTGGGAAGGACTTGACATGAGAGGTTTTTGGGATTTCTGCTATCTACATGCAACCCGTGGTTGGATCGGTTTATCCTTGCATTTTTTTGTCGAGAAGTCCCTCTTTGATCTTACCTTTCTGTTAAAACGAAGAAACAATGTTTTGGGTATTTGTGCATTATCACTGTGGTTGTTGTTTTTAAGGGGAAATTACACTGAGAGGAGACCAAGATCATTGCATTTACAGTGCGGTTGTTGTTTCAGTACTTGCTGTTAAAACGATGAAACAATACATTTCCTCATTTGAGCATTTACAGTTCGGAATGTAGTGGTGATAAATTAGAAAATCTTTTTGATAGGGAGATTAAAAACATTGGTATTGATAATGGCAATCTGTTTCTTTCATAATATAAATTTGTTCAAGGCTCCTGGCTTTGTATAGCCTAATCCTTCTTAACAGCCTTTAGTACCCATATATGTGAATGTTTCTTTGTTGAAGGCAATTTCTTGATATGTTCTATTTGTGATATACAGTTATCATGGCAGCTTGGATGACCCTCCTTATGGGCAATTCTTTATTCACCCGCTGATATACAGTTATCATGGCAGTTACATATATAGTTTGATCTATTTGCGATATATGGCTTGAATGTTATTGGTTCTGCAATCACTTAACACAAGTAAAATTCTGTTGAAGTGAATAAGGCATACTGTTGAAATGGGGCACTTGGTGATATATAGCTTGAATTTGTTTGGCAATATGTCATATCTTTGAAATGGGGCATTGGTGGAAGCTTGAAAATTATAGCCATGCTTCTTATGTTGAGTTATTTTTTCTTATCTTCCTGATAAAATTCTGTTGAAATATATTTTTGATAATCTTTTAATGCATGTTGTCATTTGGTTTGAAGGCAATAAGACATACTATCATTTGGTGAGTTTGGGATAAGGCATACTGTAATTTGGTTTTGAAGGCAATAAGTCCTCTTACTCTGGTGATTGAACACATATATATTAGGCACCATTTCAAGAGATATATTATTAGTGCTATTTACGTGGGATAAGGCATTTGGTTTTGAATACAGTTTTTCGTGACATTTATGAATAAGAATATGGATAAGAATGTGGTTGTTTATATGCAGTTATATTTATAGAGATGCAGTTATATTTCGATAAAATGTTGGGCCTTAATTGGAAGGAGGTTTTGTTTGCTGCATTTACATAGCTGTTGGAAGTTTTGTTTGCTTTATGAAGTTAGAAATACATACGAGATAAAATGATGACTTTAAATACGGGATGTTCACAATTACTATGTTAGCTGTTATAACATTCTCCCTTTCTTTTTTTTACAATATTGCTCAGTATTGCCTGATATTTGATAGCATTCCTGAAGAATTGAATCATTTTCTTAATAGTATCATTATGGCTAACAACAAAGAAGCCTCTATTTCAGCTATGTGGGATAAAGATGTCACAATCATTTTTTTGCAATTTATGTATTAAGGAGATTGAAATTGGTAATCGGCTTACCACCTATTTTAACAAAGAAGGGTGACAAAATATTTCCAATAAGTTCAAGGAAATGACAGACCGTGAGTACGACAGGTTAAAATTCAAAAACAAGTCTGATCAGCTCAAAAAAGACTGGAAGTTATGGAAGGAACTGAAACGAGGATCCACAAGATTGGGTTGGGATCCCATCAAACGTACTGTAGATGCTTCAGAAGAATGGTGGGCTGAGAAACTAGAGGTAATACTTCCCCCCCTCTCATTCGGTTTATCCATTACATTTTTTATTAATATGCCCTACTTATTGCAAAAATTTAAGGTGTGTGGAATTGACCCGGAATTGGAAGACAAATTGGACGTTATGTTTAAGGGTGTTGTAGCTACGGGGCAGAATACCTTCAACCCAAGTGAGTTGTGGTTCGATGACATATCACTTTACTTGACACCTGATCCACTTATGGGTTATGGTCAAGGTCCTAGCATAAATCCGAGGGAGCTCGAGTCCACAGGCCAATCAATGAGGCGTAAAAAACAAAGATGTATTCGTGTAGAGCTCAATAGACCGACTGATAGAAGTATTTGTAGCTCCACAACCTGTTGAACCAGAAGTAGATGATCCCAGTGTTGATCGTTTTATGAACCTTTTAGAAAACATACCTGAAGTTATGGTTGATAACGATTTCTTTTTAAAATGTGTAGGGTGCTTGAATGTCCAACAAAAAGACAGATTTTCAAGAGGCTTCGGCCTGAGCTGCGCGTGCAATACTTACGGCTTTCTATCGAAAATTAATTGTTGTATTTGTGAACTTTGCTGGATATGCCGGCTATTGTATTATGCGTATTATGCTAAAGACCTTTACATGTTGAACTCGCTTTAGCATTATGATGTTTATGTGTTGTTTGATTGGTTAACAAATATTAGAACTACTACTCAACCTACATTTTTGTTTATTTGTTCATGTGATGATTGTTTGGTTTTTCAGGATGAATCGATATCGAGAACGCCGCAAAAGAATGGCGGCTGCGATTGCTATATTTTTGTTAGAGTACTATCGCTCTCCTATTCATCGAACACCACGCATGACTTCGTCGTTTATTAGGGATAAATGGGTAGGCGAGATGTTAGCTGGGCATCCAATAAGGTTCAGCAACATCTTCCGGATGAGCGTACCGATTTTTTTGGATCTTTTGCATGAGCTTCGAACCAACCATGGGCTTGAAGGTTCGTCAAGGAATAACACAAGGGAGGTTTTAGCGATTACTTTATATATTTTATCTCAAAATGAATCGATCAGCGGAGCTATGAAACGATTCCAGCATTCCTCTGAGACAGTCAGTCGAAAGAAAATTTTTAATAAACGTCACTCATCCCTGTGCGGCGTTATCGAAAGA